AATACTCGCGGGGCCTCTAGCGCCCGTTTCCGTGCACGTACGTGCACAAAACTTTGCATACTCCTTCACAGATACTTGCTTTACAACTGCACCAAGTTTGAAGTAGTTGGCTTTTTCCTGAAGAAAATTTAAAAAAAATATATTTTTGACCGCTCGGATGGATGGATGGACGGGTGCGTTTCTGCTTGTAGCTTGGTGTCGTAAGATCGGATCAGGGTGAGCCTGATACAGTTGTAAAGATCTGGGTGATACAAATCCAACGTGCCCTACCTCATCTGTGTGTGCGTTTCCTATGCAACACACAACACAAAAGAGTGGTTTATTCTGTCACCATTACGTTTAACATGGCTGAACCTGATTCTCATATGACAGGAAGTGCGGGTCTGAGTAGCCCCACCCTCCCGTTGAGAACTCTGCTGTAACCAGATCAAAGGACAAGCCCGTTAAGGTCAGATCTCGACTTCTGAGGCATGTAGACAGACGAAACAAACACCGACGGATTTGTCTCGATCTCACAAACAACAAGTGTCAAATTAGTGCACATACGTGCACGTTCAGGGGATTGAAAGAACAATTATGACCTATAAATCACCATGGGAATGGGCTAAAGACATGAAACTGCACTGGCATCTGGTAGCACGTGTGACATCATCAGTCCAGGGGTCAGGCTTCGGTCTGGAGGTTCTTATCTTTAATGGAGCCACAGCATCTAAAGCAGTCTGACAAGCTGAGTTAAAATGAGAGGAGAGAGCTTCAACATCTGAACTAGGACCCACAGGATCCCTGGAGCTGATGGCAGAACTAAAAGCTGCAGAGAACTGAGCAGCAGTGGAGGAGTTAATGACCTGACAGGGCTATGCAGGAGCGCGAGGTTTGACTGAGTGACAGACGAGTGGCATGTCAAACACCACAGGCATGTGGTCTGAGAAAGCAGCATCACACACTTCCAGATTAGAAACATTAAAACCATGAGCTAAGACAAGATCTAATGTGTGGCCACATTCTTGTGTTGGACCAGACACAAACATGCTTGTCAAGCTATCATGCTGCCTCACAGCAAGAAAGTCCTGTGTTCAATCCCTGGTTTGATCTGGGGTCTTTCTGTGTGGAGTTTGCATGTTCGTCTTGTGTTTGCGTGGGTTTTCTCCGGGTACTCCAGTTTCCCCCCACAGATCAAAAACCTGCATGTTAGGCTGCCTCCAGGCCCAGGCCTCCCTTGTAAAAGAGATCTGTGATCTCAGTGGGATTTGCTTGGTTAAATAAAGGTAAGTAAGTAAATAAATAAATAAATAAATAATGTTGACAACAGGTAGTATAAGCATTTACGTTATCAGAGTGCAATTTACCACACCTCCTCAAATGTATTCATCTGCAACAAAGTTCCAATTTATATAATTCATATGAAAATCAAACAAAGAATCTGGAAAAAGTACTTGCTATTTGGAAGACTGTATATAAGCAACTCGGAAACACATGATTGAATATAAACATGTGACAGACACTCAAGGAAGCCAACACAGAAGAGGAGGAAAAAATCCTGACTTACCTATTACAAGTTTACAATTCTTTGCTTTATCATCTATGTTAAAAAAAATATAGGTAGTTTATTAGTTGTCCATCCCGTCAGGTCCAACACGCAGTCCTTTTAAATTAATGTATTTCATGAAGATACGTGATTCGTTTGGATTTATACAGAAATACATACCGGACGGGCGGGAGCATGTTGTTTCTTTATTACTTGTCTCCACCCGGGGCCGCGCAGACAAACAAAAGAAGCGCACCTTTAGAGGCACACTAAGAACGAAGAATCGTGGGCAAAGCAGCTTCTTAAGCACATGGAACTGTAAGTTATTTCTCTCATTTAAAATATATTTTAGTGTACCGGTTTAATTAAAAAATGTTATGAATGGTGATACTAAATGAGCTTCTTTTTAAAAATGATAAAACCACACACTTAAAGGCTCACCAGAGAGGTAAATTGAAGATTTTTTTTAAACAAGATGGAGGTTTCTGATAGACTTGAACTACTGATGCCATTTGACTTCGAAATACAAGTTTAAATACTTTGTAGACACTGAACAGATTGGTGGTATGGTTATAAAATGATTACTTATGCTGTGTCTGTTTAGATAATGACATCAATAAAAAGTAGAATACCACCTAAACGGGATGCAGCTGAACATGCAGCAAAGGCCAGTGACAAGACAGGAAGGTTGGAAGTGAAGTTCATCAACCCCTATAAAGGTGGGTTTGTGTGCATTACAATTAAGATATTTCCACACCTCACAATTGAAAGTGTTTTTGAAAAAGTAATTTAGCAGCGAAGGAGTTTATAATTTTTTTATATGTTTAGGATGAGGTGTGTTCGCCACGACTCTTTTTAAAAAGGGAGATTTTGTGGTGGAGTACAGAGGGGATTTAATAAACTATGAAGAATCACAAAGAAGGAGGACACTATCATAATGCATGTACTGTATTCATGTTCGACTTCTTGTGGCAGGAAAGATGGTGGTGGTAAGTCCAGAGTTTATCATTAATCAATGCAAGTTGGTAAAACTTTGATTTATTTAAAGCCAATGGTACTGCTTTAAGAAGTGCTGTTTTTTAAAAGTTATATTTTTGCAATGTACAATGAAAAAGATACTGGTAGATGGAAAGCCACACCTGTGCTTATTTGCCATAACAGACATACCTCCTGGAGATGAAGTAACTTACAATTATGGAGGAACTGGTTGGCCATGGAGGGAGAAGGTTTGTCAAGGATCACTTTCAGTTCCCTATGTGAATGACTTGTCCAAGTTAAAACTGAATTTTGTATGTTTTATATTGATGAGGTTGAAAATTCTGAGGAGTGGACATTAGAATTTTGTGGAATTGATTTGACACAGTGTACAATTTTAGGGTTGATGGAGATTGATCAATATATTTTTAATATGGAATGTTTAAGGAAGACTTATTGAGCATGTGTACATTTTATATTATAGAAATCTATTTGGTTCTTAAGGTAGACAAATTTTGTTAAAAATATGAAAAGAAAATGCAACAATCCTGTGACATCTTCTTAGGGACACACTTGTACAGGTCAAAGTGGTGCATAAACTTTAGACATTCTTGATGAAAGATCACAGCCAAACTGAACCAGCTTCATATTAGAACTTTAAAGCTATGATTCATCAACAATGTACCATGCTAGTAATCAGCTGTATTTATTTTGATTAGTCAATGGTTTGTTTTATGTTTCTAGTTTAGGTAGTCCTTGGACTTGCCCAAATGTTTGATAGTCTGCAAATAAATAGATTATTAAGAGACTATTTTTTCTTTTCTTAAGGTTGACAAAGAATCAACTTTGACTAAGGGTGTCAAGGTTGAACATGCTGACTCATCAGATCAAGCTCCACCCAAGTTCAAGTCCTCCAAGGAAAAGGTATTTATTTCTAAACTTCCATTCATTGTACTTTTAGTCTTCAGTCCTACTTGTGCTGTTTCAGAGATTTGACAGAATGGTTAAATTGTTAGAAAATTTCATGAAAATTTCTTTCAAATTCTCTGTAAACTCTGAGCATAAACAGGGCTCATTCAGCACTCTTAGTAAAACACACTAGTCTTGTCTGATGTCATTGTGGGGACTGTAGCAGCTGTAAAGTTGTACCCAGGGAATTACTGTTTTGTGGCAATACACATTTTTCTGGTATACAGTCCAAGTGAGGACCCCGTTTTTGAAGTTCTTTTTGGTCAAAATTTAATCTGCTTTTGTGGGACTATAGTTCTTGTCTCCTGATTGTTAGCATGGTTCACACCTACCTTATGTATGCTTCATCTCAGGGATTATAATATAAATATGTTTACAGGCCAATACAGTGACATCTTCTTAAGGGCACATTTGTACAGGTCAAAGTGGTGCAGAAACTTTAGACGTTCTTGATGACCGATCACTGCCAAACTGAACCAGCTTCATAGTAGAACTTTAAAGCTGTGATTCATCAACAATGTACCATGTTAATAATCTGCTGTATTTCTTTTGATTAGTCAATGGTTTGTTTTATGTTTCTAGTTTAGGTGGTTGTTGGCTTTGCCCTAATGTTTGTCAGCCTGGATAAATTAAATTATTAAGATGCTATTTTTTCTGTTCGTAAGGTTGACAAAGAATCAACTTTGACTGAGGGTGTTGAGGTTGAGCATGCTGGCTCATCAGATCAAGCTCCAACCAAGTACAAGTCCTCCATGAATAAGGTATATTTTTTTTCAATTTAATTTTAAATTCAGTTCAGTTTATTGATCTAGTGTCAAGTCACATCAGCGTTGTCTCAGGACACTTTACAGGAATATTCACAGTCATAAAAAAGCCAATTAGTACAGATCTCTATCTGAGAAAGCAGCTGACAAGTTGAATCTAGGCTTTGTTGCAGTCTCCAATCCTGAACAAATACAATGTTTCTGAACTTCTTTTCATTTTATTTCTAGTGATCAGTCCTACTTGTGCTCCTCCATAGATTTAACATTATGGTTAAATCGATAGAAAATTTCATAAAAGTTTTTTCAAATTCTCTATAAACTCTGAACATTAACAGGGTTCTAAAAATGCTAATTCTGGTCCTCTGGACATTCAAAAAAAAACAAAAACAAAGCAAAACAACAAAAAAATGTAGAAAGTCGGAGGAAGTCTCTCGGATGAGAAATGAAATGTTTCTACATTTTTTTTGTTGTTTTGCTTTGTTTTGTTTTTTGGAATGTCCAGAGGACCAGATTGAACTTTTTTAGATTTTTCTACCTGGATTATTGAGCATGCATCAGGATAAACAGGGTTCATTCAGCATGCTTAGTAACACACACTAGTCTGGTCTGATGTCATTGTGGGGACTGTAGCAGCTGTAGAGTTTGTACCCAGGGAATTACTGTTTTGTCGCAATACACATTTTTCTGGTATACAGTTCAAGTGAGGACCTCGTTGGAAGTTCTTTTTGGTCAAAATTTATTGTGCTTTTGTCTGACTATAGTTCTTGTCTCCTCATCATTAGCATGGTTCACACCTACCTTATGTATGCTTCATCACAGGGATTATAATACAAATATGTTTACAGGCCAAACTTGTGATGTCGTCTTAGGGACACATTTGTACAGGTCAAAGTGGTGCAGAAACAGGAGACGTTCTTGATGACAGATCATTGCCAAACTGAACCAGCTTCATATTAGAACTTTAAAGCTATGATTCATCAACAATGTACTATGCTAGTAATCAGCTGTATTTCTTTTGATTAGTCAATGGTTTGTTTTATTTTATAGTTTAGGTGGTCGATGAATTTGCTCTAATGATGTCAGCCTGGACATAATTACATTATTAAGATGCCATTTTTCTTTTCTTAAGGTTGACAAAGAATCAACTTTGACTGAGGGTGTCGAGGTTGAGCATGATGGCTCATCAGCTCAAGCTCCAACCAAGATCAAGTCCTCCAAGAAAAAAGTATTTATTCATGACCTTCTTTTCATTGTACTTCTTGTCTTCAGTCCTACTTGTGCCGTTTCAGATATTGGTCAGTATAGTTAAATTGGTAGAAAATTTCATGAAAATTTCCTTTAAATTCTCTGTAAACTCTGAACATAAACAGGGATCATTCAGCACTCTTAGTAACACACACTAGTCTGTTCTTAAGTCATTGTGGGGACTGTAGCAGCTGTAAAGTTGTACCAGGGAATTACTGTTTTGTGGCAATACACATTTTTCTGGTATACAGTCCAAGTGAGGACCCCGTTTTTGAAGTTCTTTTTGGTCAAAATTTAATCTGCTTTTATCCTGATGCATGCTCAATAATCCAGGTAGAAAAATCCAAAAAAGTTCAATCTGGTCCTCTGGACATTCAAAAAAACAAAAGCAAAACAAAGCAAAAAAAAATCTAGAAACGTTTCGTCTCTCATCCAAGAGACTTCCTCAGTCTGAAGTGCTGTTTTCAGCTCAGTCTCTTAAATCTGTCTCAGTCTC